GGAAACAAGATGTTGAACACACAAAGCCCTAAACCAGCACCATCCATTAAATCACTACACTCAGACCTAATGTGCATGTTTTTAGTGGTAGGGTAAACCGGAGCACCCAGAGGAAACCTACGCAAACACAGAACATGCAAACTCCACTCAGAAACCCAGGAGCACTCAGTCTGTGTGTGGTTCCTGTATCCGCTGTAGCAGAGCAGAGGCCTGCACGGACTCGTCTTAGGCCCTGTTTACATGCAGACGCAGCCCACTCCAGAATCTAAAAGCAAAGTGTCTACACTAGAAATCTTATCGTCTGCATGAGTGAAAACAATGTAGTTCTAACGCCTGGCCAGTAGTGGGCGCTACAACATGACAGGCGCAACACCAATTTTGCCTTCTGTGGCCTTTTCAAAATGGCCACGGGGATAGAAAATGTGAAACAATGCATTTGCACATGCGTTAGTTGCATGAGCCCCATTCCAAAGTCCACAGCGGCTAAACTACTCCCCTCAACATCGACAACATCTGGAACGAAGCTTTTGACCAAGATCCACTTTTGGACCAGGAGCCACTTTTGGACCAAGATCCACTTTTGGACCAAGATCCACTTTTGGACCAAGATCCACTTTTGGACCAAGATCCACTTTTGGACCAAGAGCCACTTTTGGACCAAGAACCACTTTAGACCAAGAACCACTTTAGACCAAGAACCACTTTTGGACCAAGATCCACTTTTGGACCAAGAGCCACTTTTGGACCAAGAACCACTTTAGACCAAGAACCACTTTTGGACCAAGAGCCACTTTTGGACCAAGAACCACTTTTGGACCAAGAGCCACTTTTGGACCAAGAACCACTTTTGGACCATCCTGTTAAGACTTTCTCTAGAGGAGAGAAGACGTCATACAAAAGTATTGAGTAATTCTTTTTCCGGGTACACCCCCACCAGGGGGAGTGAGATTGCACATGCTCATGGACCTTTTGGAGCCGGGACCCGCCCTCACTGGTTTTGTCCCACGCTGGAGGCCTTCACCCCCGAGAAACACAGATGCAGTGTGAGTGAAAAGCCAACTCGTTCGTCAGCTCCATCGTGTTACTGTCACAGCGTCTCTGTGTAAACAGGGCCTTAGGCGTCAGCAGTGCTTCCCACAGGGAGTCCTGGGACCCCCTGGGGAGCCACAGAGACACTAGAAGACCAGAGGCACTAGATACTCCAAAGGTTGTCCACACAACATGAAAATGCTATTTATATCATATCTTTGCAAACAACATAAAAACAGATTAGTACATCTTACACCATTCATATTTGGTCATAGTTTGTTGGGCCCTGAGAGATTTCTTGGTCCATACAGATACACTGATTAACCAGTTTTTATAGGAATGAGAGCAAATGGATATATGTCTCAGATTTGTAAACATTTACAAGATAAAATTCCTTTCACTATTTCCATTTAGTTTTGTAAAAAAAAAGCCACAAACATAAAGATAAGATTCAAGGCTTTCTTGATCCCGCACAGGAGAATTTTACATGTCACATCTGGCATGGATAGAAAGACTCAAGATTGAACAAAAGAAAGAAATGTGCAACATGTTAAATGCAGGATATACTTTGTAAAATCAAGAAACAGTGTCAATAGTAGTGCAGGTTCTTTCAGTCTTAATGCAAGACAAGATAAGATATGCTTTATTTATCTCACAAAGAAGAATTGTACATTTTCTAGTGTCAATAGTAGTGCAAGTTCTTTCAGTCATAATGCAGTGACTTAAAGTGACTTGTTGTACAGTCTGACAGCGGTGGGGATAAAGTCCCTGCGGTAGAGCTCCTTCTTCCACTGAAGGAGCTCCTCAGCTCCTCTACAGTCCTGTGCAGTGGGAGGTGTTGTTCATGATGGAGGTGGCTTTTGCTAGCACCCTCCTGTCCCTCACCTCCTCCACAGAGTCCAGGGGCCTCCTGTCCCTCAACTCCTCCACAGAGTCCAGGGGCCTCCTGTCCCTCACCTCCTCCACAGAGTCCAGGGGCCTCCTGTCCCTTAACTCCTCCACAGAGTCCAGGGGCCTCCTGTCCCTCACCTCCTCCACAGAGTCCAGGGGCCTCCTGTCCCTCACCTCCTCCACAGAGTCCAGGGGCCTCCTGTCCCTCACCTCCTCCACAGAGTCCAGGGAGCAGCCCAGAGTGGAGCTGGCCCTCCTGACCAGCTTGTTCAGTCTGCTCCTGTCCCGCTCTGTGCTGCCCGGGGCCCAGCACACGGCAGCGTAGTAAATGGCAGATGCTACCACAGAGTCATAAAAAGTCCTGAGCAGAGGCCTGCTCACTCCGAAGGACCTCAGCCTCCTCAGAAGGACCTCAGCCTCCTCAGAAGGAAGAGGCGACTTTGGCCCTTCTTGTGCAGGGCGTTTGTATTATGGACCAGTCCAGTTTATTGTTAATGTGAACACCCAGGTACTTGAAGCTGTCCACCAGTTCAATGTCCTCCCCCTGGATGTTCAGCAGCGTGTGGGAAAGTGGTTTTCTCCTGAAGTCGATGATCATCTCCTTGGTCTTACTGGTGTTCAAGCACAAGTGGTTGCGCTCACACCAGTCGACAAAGTCCTTGATAACCGACCGATATTCCAGATCGTTCCGCTCAGACACACAGCCCACGATTATTGTACAGTCTGACAGCAGTGGGGATAAAGGCACTGCGGTAGCGCTCCTTCTTAATTAAACACATTGTTTATCAGAAATCCAATCCATCAAAATTGATATTTCAACAATATCCTTCCTATTATTACGCACGTTGAGCTCCAGTTCTGGAGCTCAACGTTCTGGTATTTATTCGTATGTGCCATACGAATAAATCCTCTGTTAAAAAATATAACAATGAGGCAGAGGTACAGTATCTTACTACACCCGTCACCGCAGACTTAAAAAGCAATGACCTTTGACTATTCTTATGTAATACAGACGTAGAGTGTCTTTCCTGGACTACAATTCTCCAGGCTTCTTTCTGGGATTGAACCAACAACCCTTAATATTGCATGGGGGAAAGGCAAACAAAAGAACGTAGCTTGACATTTCTTAAGAGTGCTACTTTGCTTTTGGCTCCTGTGGGTTTGGAGTGGGTTTGGAGTTGGCTGCACTGTACAGTGCACTGTACAGTGCAGCCAACGCACACAGGAGAAACTGCCTTGTTCTCTTCATCTTTATTATGGTTATTGAATTTGGTTCAAAAGGAGCAGACTTCAAAGGCGCCGCAGCGAGATTCATAATTCGAGAGTATTTTTTCTTTTTTCTTTGGACTTCCAGTGTGCTCCCTGCAAAAGGGATGTCAGAAACAACTCTAGGATTAAGAAGAGCGTAGGTGTGTAAAGGACTGGGAGTCACGGCAAAGTCTAATACCTGCAATTTATATTATTATTATTATTAAATTATATCATTCAATTATACGCAACGGGTGTTCATTTTGCCCCTTAGAATGATTACGTGAATTTATCTTGAAACAACATTAAATCTAGCTCCAAATCTAACATGGTTTTGTAGTTCATTCATTTTTTTATTTAACCCTCATTCAACCGGGAAAGTCTCAACTCAAAGTGTTTGAGAAAATGACATGATGTATTTGTGTTTCCATTGTTAAAGCTGAACAACCTCAGACTCAGGACTCAGGACTCTGGACTCTGGACTCAGGACTCAGGACTCAGGACTCAGGACTCAGGACTCTGGACTCTGGACTCTGGACTCTGGACTCACAAAGACCGAAGAGGTCCATTCACTACAATTATCTTTGAAAAACAAATTAAATAATGGACACAAACAAACACTGTAGGATTTGAAGAGGTTCATTCTTCTGCTAAAAGGAAAACTAAATTGCAGAATTATTGAAAGGATTTTTAAAAACACATACTGCTGTTGTATAAAGTCTGTGAAGGTCTCTGGAACTCTGGTTCGTTCAGTTTGATTCAAGTATTACAAATATTAAGCTTTTCTTCCTCTGATAATTTAACATTTTAGAATTTCTTACATGGAATAGAAGATTAAAGTTTGTGTTTTGTTTTTCTATTCTAAATTTTAACGGAAAATACTTCATTACCTGGTTAAAGTTCTTTTCCAATAATGCAGCTCTGCAGCGTCTCTGTGTCCGAGACCTTCACAGACTTTATATAACAGCTGTATGTGGTTTTTTTTTTTATCCTGTCGACAATTCTGCAATTTAGTTTTCCTTTTAGCAGAAGAATGAACCTCTTCAAATCCTACAGAATTTGTTTGTGTCCGTTATTTAATTTTGTTTTTCAAAGATAATTGTAGTAAATGGACCTCTTCGATCTTTGTGAGTCCAGAGTCCTGAGTCTGAGGTTGTTCAGCTTTAACAATGGAAACACAAATACATCAAGTCATTTTGTGAGAAGAGGTTATCTTCTCCTTTTTCAGTCTAAAATCAGGATTTGCCTTCGGGACACGACGATTCTCAAAGAAAACACAAATAATTGCTACTCCTCATTAAAGGTCCCTAATCTGTCATAATAATAAATTGTTCTTTTCCAATACTTCTTTAACTGATAACAGTCGTTCATAGATATTTGAATTTCTAAATTATTTATACAACCCCTGTTTGTTTTCTTTTTGATGTCACCGTTTCACCAATCAGAAAGTCCGTGATCCGGGCGCCCAAACTCACCGCGTGGAGCTAATCTCACTGGTAAAGTACCATGTGGCGCAGAACTAAAAAAGGTCTCGTTATGATTCTCAAATCATTAACGACAAAACAAACCAGGATTTCTATCTTTGTGAAAAAGGTGTTGGTTATAGATTTGTTGTTGACAAAACTCTTGTCTATTCAGCTGTTATGGTCCCAGCTGGATTCGTCTGCATATCTGGCAACCTGAGTCAGGGAGAGTGGGCGAGGCTGCAGTACCACTTTTGGCCACATGTTTACACACTGCTCCTTTAAGGCATATCTCTGAACATTCATCTCAGGAAGTATTTTCCCACAGCTGTAGCACAAAAGAGATGAATAACAAAGGAGCAGTGGGTTATGGAGAGACTGCAGCGCTCTGTCATCCATCCGAGCCCAGTTTATGTGATGGATCTGCTCACCTCAACGACCCCCAGAATCCATCACTCCAGAGGGGGAGGGGCCACCGTCCGCTTGGTTCGAAGACCGTCGTACAAGCAGCTGTTGCCAGATGTTGATGGAAACTGCGGCTTTTGTCACATGCAAAACGTGAAGGGCAAAACTCTACCTCTTATTCTTCAACAGGGATAATAAACACGGAGAGAACATGCAAAACGTAAAGGGCAAAAATCTACTCCTTTTTCTACAACAGGGATAATAAACACAGAGAGAACAAGCAAAATGTACAATAGGGATAATATACATAGAGAGAACATGCGAAACATAAAGGGCAAAAATCTACTTCTTCTCACTCCTTATTTTTCAAAATAGAGTACATACACAGAGAGAACATGCAAACTTAATTGAAATTGGCGGCATGGTGGCTGAGTGGAAAGCATTCTCGCTTCTCAGCACGAAGGTCCTGGGTTTGAATCCCGATCGGAACAAGGCCTTTCTCAGTGGAGTTTGCATGCTCTGCCTGTGCCTGTAGGTTTCCTCAGGGTGCTCCGGTTTCCTCTACCACTATAAGCACACAAAAAAAATTTAAAGGATCAATAAGTTTTGAATACATACTGTCCAAACAAATAAATACAAGTCTGCTTTTTCAGACAGAAGAGTGATGATGGGACGGACCACACTCACTCAGCCAATCAGGAATCAGCTCTCACCGTAAAACAGGGGTATCCAAACTTTTAAGAGAGAGGGCCACTTTAGTTCACCAGACTAGCCCAGGGGCCGATATCACGGACTGAAAAACTGTCTTAACTTACATCAGGCTGTTCTGAGCTTAAAAAATAATCTAAAACATAGCTGAAGTTGGCTGAATGATCCACATGTTTACCATTTCACCAGCTTCATTAGCAACGTTAACAAAAAGTAACGACTGAATTCCAGACGTATTGGCTTTAGAACGTGGTACGACATGTCTGTAATGGCTGAGCTGAAGTTGGATGGATGACTCCGTTAGCAAGAGAGAGGGCCACATAAAATGACACTGAGGGCCGCAATCTGCCCCTGGGCCTGAGTTTGGACAAGCCTGGTCTAAAGAGTCCAATTGTGACTCAAAAGTAAGAAAAATGTCTCGTTTTTTTTGAACATTTGCTTTGAACATGTCCATACCTGTAGGTGAAAGCCAGATCCTGTCAGCCCTCTGTAGCTAAGCAGAACAGGGCCTGGTTAGTGCTGTGATGGGAGACGTCTGGCAACAGCGGGTGCCACAGTGGGGCGGCTGCAGCTGTAAAGTGCCAAACTGTGGTTGTGTCCTTAGGCGAGACACTTCCCCCACTAGAATGAGTCTGGTGTGTGTGTGAATGGTTGGTGGTGGTGGGAGGGGCCGATGGCACAGACTGGTTGCCTCGCTTCTGTCAGTGTGCCCCAGGGCAGCCGTGGCTACAGTAGTAGTTTATCACCAGTGTGTTTGGAGTGAAAGAATAATGACATGTGGAGAGACTTTGTTGTTGTTTTTTATGTCATCTTTTTTCAATGGAAACCTCCTGTACATCCAACAAAACTACATTTCTTTTCTCAAACTTGTTTTTGTTATGTCATCTTTTTTCAATGGAAACCTCCTGTACATCCAACAAAACTACATTTCTTTTCTCAAACTTGTTTTTGTTAAGTTTTAGATTGAACATGGAACATTTCACACTAAAATTCAAACAACTACATAATCAATACCGAAGACAGAATCCAATAAAACCAAATTGTTCAGTCCTGACTTCTCAAACGGAGGTAAACAAAACCCAACGACTTCAGCTGCTGCGGTCGATGTTACAGACTTCCAAATACTCCAGATATGTTTTATAGACAAACAGCTTTTCAAATCAAATCAACATCAAGACATTTTCCAAAGCCGTTGAGTTGTAACAATGCTGAGCTGGCGCTATTGGCTTGAGAATAGATGGGTTTGTCAGCCAATGCTAATGTGGACTGAAGTGACCTACAAAGAGTAATAAATGCGTTATAATGCACATATTCATCACACTGGCAGCCGTTTGTAACCCATTATGGGCCAACACAGTAAATCAGGTCGAGGCAAAAAGCACATGCGGGACTTCGAATCAGCGCCGTGAATGTGTGCTCCGGGGAAACACACAGACCAACAGTTTGGTCAAACAGTTTATTTATTTTCATGATTATGAAAATTGTAGATTGACACTGAAGGCATTAAAGCTATGAATGAACTCATGTGAATTATGTACGGACTAAAAAAAAGTATCGAACAACTGAAAATATGTGTCATATTCTGGTTATTCAAAGTAGCTCCTTTTGCTCTGATACTGCTTCACTCTTGGCATTCTCTGGATGAGCTTCAACAGGACCTGAAATGGTCTTCAACAGTCTTGAAGGAGTTCCCATGATGCTTAGCACTTGTTGGCCCCTTCACTCTGTGGTCCAGCCCCAAAATCATCTGGACTGGGTTCAGGTCCAAAACCATCTGGACTGGGTTCAGGTCCAAAACCATCTGGACTGGGTTCAGGTCCAAAACCATCTGGACTGGGTTCAGGTCCGGTGACTGTGGAGGTCATGTGGCCCAGTACCATCTCTCTCCTTATTGGTCAGCCCTTACACAGCCTGGTGCGGGTCTACAGCAATAGTCATGAGATGAACTCAGTGAAGGAGAGATGGTGTTCAAACTTTTGGTCTGTACTGTATAATGGGAAAAATGTTATTGCATGCCGAGGATCCATGAAAAAGCTAGTTTCCCGAAGGTTTGTGTGAAAATATTGCTATTGCCCAGAGATAAGGGAAGGAGACGAGGCTGTCCATAAGAACCATCTGCAGGTAATCCACCTATCAATGACTGGTATCGACCGCTGCTGAAAGGACGTTATCTACAGCTGGATCTAAACACCGGGAAAGTCGATGGAAGAGCGTGTGTGGGAGTCGTTGACAACCGGTTATAATTTAGGATCTACCCCGAAATATCCACATATATGAACCACTACCATATACTGTATGTGGTTATTCAGTATTTTTTACGTGTTAAGAAGAGATGCATAGGGTTCTCTGGTCCATGATCATTTCCTACATGTACGTCTGGTCTTACCATGTGTAAACTCTGGTCTTACCATGTGTAAACTCTGGTCCATGGTCATTTCCTACATGTGCGTCTGGTCTTACCATGTGTAAACTTTGGTCCATGATCATCTCCTACATGTACGTCTGGTCTTACCATGTGTAAACTCTGGTCCATGATCATTTCCTACATGTACGTCTGGTCTTACCATGTGTAAACTCTGGTCCATGATCATTTCCTACATGTACGTCTGGTCTTACCATGTGTAAACTCTGGTCCATGGTCATTTCCTACATGTACGTCTGGGTCTGATCCTAGTGGCTGCAGTTTCCTCGGTTGAATCTCCTCCGACCAATCAGAGAGCGGGGGAGGCGGGTGTTGTAGGTCGGTGTCGGTGACGTCAGAGTTTGTGCTGAATTTGCTGGTTGTAGTTTGGCGGAGAATGTGATAGTAAAATAATCTGTTCTGGTTCAATCCAAATATCAAGAAACTGAAGCCGGAGCAAGAGGAATGTTTAGTAAATGTCATTGAAGCAAAGATGTTGTGGCTCTACTCCCCACGGGCTCCGGTAGTGACAAAGGAGATGGCTAAAGCTAGGCTAAATGCTGAAGCTAGGTTAAATACCTCACTGACCCAGGTACATTACATACGTCACTCAGATCCAATGGTTTCAATCTGAAAAAGTAGTTAATCCAGACTTTACTAAGAAATGAAATGAGGACGATGGTATGGTAAGACCAGACTATCATGATCGCATTGATCTATGAATGGTTTTAAGCAACATTTATTGGTCCTAGTGCCAATGTTTTCTGCCCAAAATATTGTTTAAATTGACCAAATCTTGCTGGTTGACCACAACCAATCACTCACACAAGACTGATATTATAGTAATGTGTCTTGCCAATGGACACAACAGCAGCCTGGTATTTATAGCCTTTTTGTGGCAGGTGATGTCACCAGAGGTCTTCCATCACAGGATCAGGCTTTCACATGTTCTTTATGGATTCATAAAAAACCTCCAGAACAGACAGCTCACTCTCTCTCTCTCTCTCTGGTGTCTCTCTGGTCTCTCTATCGCTCTATGGTCTCTCTATCTAGTTTCCCGCTGGTCTCTCGCTGGTCTCTCTCTGGTCTCTCTCTCTGGTCTCTCTCTCTGGTCTTTATCTTTGGTCTCTCTCTGGTCTTTCTCTAGTCTCTCTCTGGTCTCTCTCTGGTCTCTCTCTGGTCTTTCTCTTTGGTCTCTCTCTCTGGTCTCTCTCTGGTCTCTCGCTGGTCTCTCTCTGGTCTCTCTCTCTGGTCTCTCTCTGGTCTCTCTCTGGTCTCTCTCTCTGGTATCTCTCTGGTCTCTCTCTCTAGTCTCTCTCTGATCTCTCTCTGGTCTCTCTCTCTGGTCTCTCTCTGGTCTCTCTCTGGTCTCTCTCTCTGGTATCTCTCTGGTCTCTTTCTGGTCTCTCTCAGCAGTAAAAGTCCCAGAAATGGATAATGGGAAAGATGGACATGGATTATTCAAACCGGTATAATCTTTACCAAAAAGATAAGTATATATTTTAACTCATGTGTTTTAGTGAATTATTGTCACAGAGAAACAGACAATTATTAAAGCACATGTGTTTCCCACTTGTACCTGTAAGGGGGAGTATTGCACATTCTGACCTCATAACTCCAGTCACATCTGACACTGGCCCCTCTGCAGGCTGCAGTGGGACGGCTGCTCCCAGGGGCCCCTCTCTCTGATCCTAACGTGGTGTGGATGTTCGGGGCGCGAGTGCGATATCGACCTCCTACAAATTGACTGGCACGCTGTGGGGCCGTTCCCTGGAGGCACGCTATTAGCAGATAAAACTTTCCCATGATCCCGAGCGAGAGAGAAGGGGGAGGAGATGAGACCTGACCCTATAACAAGTGGAATGGATTAGTATGAGCTCATAATTACAGACTGCACTCTCCGCTTACGCAAGAGAGATTATTATTATTGACATAGAGAAATATTTACTATGATTGGCCCATTAGTATGGACCGTGGTTGTGTCCTTAGGCAAGACACTTCCCCCACATTAGAATGAGTCTGGTGTGTGTGTGAATGGTTGGTGGTGGTGGGAGGGACTGACGGCACAGACTGGTTGCCTCGCTTCTGTCAGTGTGCCCCAGGGCAGCTGTGGCTACAGTAGTAGTTCATCCCCACTGTGTTTGGAGTGAAAGAATAATGATCTGAAAAGACTGAGCTTCCAGAATGATGACAGATTAGGGCCCTTTAATGATGACAGATTAGGGCCCTTTAATGATGACAGATTAGGGCCCTTTAATGATGACAGATTAGGGTCCTTTAATGATGACAGATTAGGGCCCTTTAATGATGACAGATTACGGCCCTATAATGATGACAGATTACGGCCCTATAATGATGACAGATTAGGGCCCTTTAATGATGACAGATTAGGGCCCTTTAATGATGACAGATTACGGCCCTATAATGATGACAGATTACGGCCCTTTAATGATGACAGATTAGGGCCCTTTAATGATGACAGATTAGGCCCCTTTCATGATGACAGATGAGGCCCCTTTCATGATGACAGATTAGGCCCCTTTAATGATGACAGATTAGGCCCCTTTCATGATGACAGATTAGGGCCCTTTCATGATGACAGATTAGGGCCCTTTAATGATGACAGATTAGGCCCCTTTAATGATGACAGATTAGGCCCCTTTCATGATGACAGATTAGGCCCCTTTCATGATGACAGATTAGGCCCCTTTCATGATGACAGATTAGGCCCCTTTAATGATGACAGATTAGGCCCCTTTCATGATGACAGATTAGGCCCCTTTCATGATGACAGATTAGGCCCCTTTCATGATGACAGATTAGGCCCCTTTAATGATGACAGATTAGGCCCCTTTCATGATGACAGATTAGGGCCCTTTCATGATGACAGATTAGGGCCCTTTAATGAGGACTGAACATGAAAATCTTACATATTGCTACTTTAACGAATAAACTTACGACGGTCACCTTTTGGTTTTACTGTTGTGCCGTTACCTTAATATTCCTCATTATCCGATTCTTTCAGACATGGATTTCGAGCCGTCATTGCTAGCTTCATTTAGCCGATCTATTCCCAGAGCCCGAGCAGCGCTTATGCCGTTTGAAATATAATTATAATGTGATGAAACATGATGAAACGTCCACATATTCAGAGAGTGTTGTGATTGTTACGGCGTCAAACCGCGGTAAAGAATTGTCTGCCCCAGTTAGCGATGACAGGCAGCGCAGACTCATTTGTCAAGTGTTGGATATGAGGTCAAATTTACCTGCAAGAAAATCTCAAAAAAGAACATGCATGACGCCCCGAAGTGTCTGCAAACGTGCTCTACATAAAGTCCTGATAAAGTAGGCTGTGGTGATGGGGGTTTACAGGCGGGGGACCTTTAAAGTGATTGTCTGGAGTTTGTCAGAAAAAAGAGAAAGAGGAACAGGATTTGAAAAAAATGACCCAAGCTCCTCCCCCTTTCTTTCTGATTGGTCTACGCCTACGTTCAGTATATAATGGAGGCTTGATTCGGAAGCTCCGCAAAAACAAACAACTGAGTATGAGCAGCTATGATTATCAGCGCGGATGATTGACAGCCCTTGGCATGACTGGATTGGTTAAACTGGACGGCATCGTGGACTCTGAGCTATAGCTAAGAGAAGGGAAGGCGGGACTTACCTGTAATGTAATGTAAGTGACTTATTTCATATTTAAGGCCAGGTCAATGAAATACAATTCTTAACATTTGTAATTAATTTAGGGTTCCAGACTATCACTTTAAAGACCGCTCCTCTGCTCGTTTTCAATACATTTCGATTCAATGTGTTTGTGTATCGTCCTAAATCACAGCAGAATTGAGCGAGTAGAGTTTGGGGTTTTCTTTTGGATTTGTGAGCAGATGAAATTGAATTAACTTTATCTGCGCAGCGCTGTAGATGAACTTTCATGACTGTAAATATTTAATAATACACAAACTCAGCAGCAGGTAAACTAAAGTCAGTGTTTGTGGATTACTGACTCACCTCCCAGAGCAAATTCTACAAACTTTTTCAATCAGAGAGCTACTTTTATTCAACGGACGAGGCAGAGAGCTACTCCTTATTTGCCGTCGTAATAAAAATCTATTCAATAATTAAGACAAGAGAGAACACACATGTAAATATACCATGATACTGTACAACCGTGTTACATCTATACTTTTAATAGATATGTATTGACTCAAAAGTGAATCATTCTAGATCATGTGCTGAATTCTAAATCCTTTGGCGAGCTACTGGTAGCTCCTGAGCTACAGTATAGGTTGGGCCAAAAGTACTTTTGTTATCTTTTTTTATTGTATGTTTTTAATATTTTTGTGTGATTCGATATTATCTTATAGTAGATTTGGGTTCAACCACAACTGGGCCACAGTTTTTTTGATAAAAATGTAGGTCTTGGGCCTAACTTCACTTCTAATTACGTGTTAGTTAACATTTTAGAACATCCTCATTTATGGCTTCCTGTGAAAACAAACTTTTAAATTAAGTTTAACAAGTCGTATTATTCCATAGTATTCTCAAGTTACTGTAATTGTGATAATTGCAAATCATCTCAAGGGCCACAAAAAATTGTCTCGTGGGCCGGATTTGGTAGCCTGACTCTGGCCAGACCCATGTAGTCCGCTGCACTTCACACATGAGTCTGGTACTGAGCCAGTGGTTGGATTTCAGAAGGCAGGGCCTTGTAAAAAAATCCTTGTATGTGATTGGATAGACCACTTGTCCGTTATCTGGAATGAAGTCTGCTTTCAACCACTCACATCGAAGCACACGGCTCCCATAGGTTGCCAAATCCCAGCAAGATTTTCCAACCCAAAATCCGCGAAAAAACCCACAAAAAAAAAACTCTTGTTTTTTTGGCTAAAAACGTAATATAATCAACTTGGGCTATCATGATTGTGTTTATTGTCTTTCTGTTTATTTAATACCTACAAGTCTCTTGGAAAAGAATATGCGGGAACCACCAAACCTGGCAACCCTGCTGCAGAGTGTGTAAACAGGAACACTGAACCAGTGCTTCAACCAAACTTTACAGGAACATTTGACTCTTAAAACACACATATATCAACATAGAACCATCAACATCTCGCCTCAAATTGCATTAAAAGTGACGTCCGTGTCTTAATTCGATCGTATTTACTCTTTTAAAAAGATTCGCGGACTTTACGTCCGCCATCTTGGATTTCTCTTGCTGCTGCATGAGAGAAGCTTGAGAAGGCAGTGCAAACCCCACGTAGCACCGGCAATCCTGATTGGTCGATTAAAAATAATCTGGGGAAGGCGTTCGCTATGGGCTCATACCAGACCCATGTGGTTCAGCCAAACGCCTCTGGTGGAGCATGGCGGAACTACAAGGTTCTGGCAGAGCCAGGCTACGGATTTGGCCCACAGGCCTGAGTTTGACATGCCTGGTATATGGGGTAGGGCTCACACGTACTGTAGGTCAACACTCTCTTCATAACATGGATTTCTGCCCAAAAATCAGAACCATAAAACTATAAACTACACCTCACAGGCTCCTCACAGGCTCCTCACAGGTTCCTAACAGGCTCCTCACAGTCCCCTCACAGGCTCCTCACAGGCCCCTCACAGCCGCCTCACAGGCTCCTCACAGGCTCCTCACAGGTTCCTAACAGGCTCCTCACAGTCCCCTCACAGGCTCCTCACAGGCCCCTCACAGCCGCCTCACAGGCCCCTCACAGGCCCCTCACAGCCGCCTCACAGGCCCCTCACAGGCCCCTCACAGGCCCCTCACAGGCTCCTCACGGGCCCCTCACAGGCCCCTCACAGCCTCCTCACAGGCCCCTCACAGTCTCCTTCATTTACAACCAATTTCCTCTTTCCAAAGTAGGGTAAAGTCGAGAATTGTCTTGATTCAGATGCCTTTTTTCCCTCGGCATCAGACACTTCCAGCACAGATTGATTGGCCTCCTCTCGTTGCCCCGAGGTCAGTCAGAAATTCACTGCTTCCTACTCAGTGACCGGGGGGCAACATTCACTCAGGCCTGGTCCCCGCCCCCGCACACCCAGGGGCCCCCAGGAACACATCCGACTGCAGGCGGCGAATGCATCCAGAGCGGGAGGGAGAAGCCGAAAAAATCCAGGCTGCTTTCTGCAATCAGTGACTGTATTTACTCACTTATAGAAACTGCTGCAGGCTCAACAATGAATGAAGCAGAAAAACGGCAAAGCTATTTCACATTTTGGTATAGAACATGTCCAGTGATACATGTCCTCCTAGGGAAAGGATTTTTTACTATAGGTGTATACGGTCTGTGGAGCCGTGGGAAACCTCCTCTTACACCTGTACTGTATTTTTTGTAGCGTCCTTAATAACAACAGCTGTCATCTCGGTGGACTTTGCAAAGATTATTCATTCATTAATTTTCTACCCTTTTATTAGTCATGGTTACGTTTATTTCCTGTATTTAAACCCTGTGTGTTCATTCACTTCTTGTTCCGTATAATTGTCAATGTTTTTGTTGTCGGCCCCGGTTTAGTTACTTTTTGTGTTGTCTACTCTGGATTTTGCTTTTGATCACATTGTTTTAAGTTAATTTTTCAGCAAATCTTTCATTTGGACACACGATATTTTGAACAATATACTAGTTTTCCCAGTTTCTTCTGTATTCTGGCATTTCTAAAGTCTCCATGGTCCAAGATACAAACGTTTGCCTAATGGTGCAGGTGAACAGGACGGTTGCTCCTTACATTGGCAGATAAAATCACTGAAATCTGCCAAAACAAAGGACAATTATCTTTTTCACTTTTTAACCTGTTTGCTCATTTCTTGTCTTTTTGCCCAACCTGCGTGATTTTATGTGCGCCAAATGTCACCTGTGTAAATGTCTTCTATTTCACTGTGAGATCAATACAAATCGTAAAATCTTTTCTCAGCCCTTTAAAATGTCATCAACATTTTTTATCATTTACACTCTCTAAGCTCCTTCTTCTGCCCACAAACCTTTGACTTGGACCAGGACTTGGTAAAACAAAAAAACTTTAGTTGAAACGGCTGTAATTTTTGTTTTTGTCTGGACGGGGCCTCAGCCAATCAGCTCTCAGCATGTAAAAGCCGTCATGTTTTTCTATCGCGCCAACCACAGCAGGTAGAGGTCTGATTTCTTCACAAAATGTTGATTGAACTCACACTCAAACGAACCAATCCCCTGAACATCCCCCTCTGTATGAGTAGCTGTGGCCGCCTCATAATGCCGAGGAAAATCACACACACACTTCCTCTTTATGTTTAGTTTATTAAAAGGCGTGCGGTGGAGGGCTGCACATCTGCCTGGGTTCTGGAGACCGGGCTCTGGAGACCGGGTTCTGGAGACCGGGCTCTGGAGACCGGGCGCCTGCAGGGACGAGCTGTTATCAAACGCAAACAAACGCCGTGAAAATCAGTCTGCAAGGGGATGGAGCTTTGAAATGTGAAACCAAACACGTGGCGCTCACAACAGCGCTGGAGAAGACAGATATATGTGTGTTTGTGTGTGCGTGTGTGTGTGTGTGTGTGTGTGTGTGTGCGCTCCGGACACCTGCAGAGATAAAGCAACACTGACATAAACATCATATTTGGCGTTGTGCGTAGCGTGATGTGTGTGATTCTATAAGTGTGTGTAGAATCACTGTGTTGTTAAGAGCATCAAACAACAACATATGGACAAAAGCTCTTGTGTGTCATTAATAATACATGTAGTTATTTACAGTCTCTGGTCCCAACAGACAGAGACACACAGTAAACTATAGTAAGACACAACATGCGGGCTTCATCCTGTGGGGAAAGGGAAAAGTGTTTTGTTTTAGAAATCTAACAGTATAGAATCAAAGTTTTTAGCTCTTGATTCCAATACAGCACATAGACACTTGTGTTAAAGAGCCCTGAGAGTCACTGTTTGACACTTTGGGCTGGGAACGGATTGGAGGAGTGAGTGGTTCTCCTTTTACCACTTTTCTGTCTGAAAATAGCTGATCTAAAATGTGAAAAAAGCCAAAATTACATGAGTTTTATCACATTTGTTTTAATAATGTAGAACCCCAACTTTAAAACAATACACTTTGGAATGGAGCTGAACGCCCAGAAGACAGTGGAGATGATTGTGGACTTCAGGAAGAGCACTGTCCCCCCGCCCCCACCCTCCGTGATGGACTCCCCCATCACCTCTGTGGAGTCCTTCCGTTTCCTGGGCACCACCATCACCCAGGACCTCAAGTGGGAGCCGACCATCAGCTCCTCATCAAGAAGGCCCAGCAGAGGATGCACTTCCTGCGGCAGCTCAGGAAAGCCAAGCTGCATTCTACACGGCCATCATCGAGTCCATCCTCACCTCCTCCATCACCTCCTCCATCACCTCCTCCATCACCTCCTCCATCACCTCCTCCATCACCTCCCCCATCACCTCCTCCATCACCTCTTCCATCACCTCCTCCATCACCTCCCTTATCACCTCCTCCATCACCTCCCCCATCACCTCCTCCATCACCTCCCCCATCACCTCCTCCATCACCTCCTCCATCACCTCCTCATCGCCTCCTCCATCATCTCCTCCATCACCTCCTCATCACCTCCTCCATCACCTCCCCTATCACCTCCTCCATCACCTCCTCCATCACCTCCTCCATCACCTTCTCCATCACCTCCTCCATCACCTCCTCCATCACCTCCTCCATCACCTCCTCCAACACCTCCTCCATCACCTCCCCTATCACCTCCTCCATCACCTCCCCTATCACCTCCTCCATCACCTCCCCCATCACCTCCTCCATCATCTCCTCCATCACCTCCCCTATCACCTCCTCCATCACCTCCTCCATCACCTCTTCCATCACCTCCTCCATCACCTCCTTCATCACCTCCTCCATCACCTCCCCTATCACCTCCTCCATCACCTCCTCCATCACCTCCCCCATCACCTCCTCCATCACCTCCTCCATCACCTCTTCCATCACCTCCTCCATCACCTCCCCTATCACCTCCTCCATCACCTCTTCCATCACCTCCCCCATCACCTCCTCCATCACCTCCCCTATCACCTCCTCCATCACCTCCTCCATCACCTCCTCCATCCCCCCCCATCACCTCCTCCATCACCTCTTCCATCACCTCTTCCATCACCTCCTCCATCACCTCCCCTATCACCTCCTCATTACCTCCTCCATCACCTCCTCATCACCTCCTCCATCACCTCCTCATCACCTCCTCATCACCTCCTCCATCACCTCCCCTATCACCTCCTCATTACCTCCTCCATCACCTCCTCATCACCTCCTCCATCACCTCCTCCATCACCTCCTCATCACCTCCTCATCACCTCCTCCATCACCTCCCCTATCACCTCCTCCATCACCTCCCCCATCACCTCCTCCATCACCTCCCCCATCACCTCCTCCATCACCTCCCCATCACCTCCTCCATCACCTCCCCTATCACCTCCTCCATCACCTCCTCCATCACCTCCTCCATCACCTCCCCTATCACCTCCTCCATCACCTCCCCTATCACCTCCTCCATCACCTCCCCCATCACCTCCTCCATCATCTCCTCCATCACCTCCCCTATCACCTCCTCCATCACCTCCTCCATCACCTCTTCCATCACCTCCTCCATCACCTCCTTCATCACCTCCTCCATCACCTCCCCTATCACCTCCTCCATCACCTCCTCCATCACCTCCCCCATCACCTCCTCCATCACCTCCTCCATCACCTCCTCCATCACCTCCCCTATCACCTCCTCCATCACCTCTTCCATCACCTCCCCCATCACCTCCTCCATCACCTCCCCTATCACCTCCTCCATCACCTCCTCCATCACCTCCTCCATCACCTCCCCTATCACCTCCTCCATCACCTCTTCCATCACCTCTTCCATCACCTCCTCCATCACCTCCCCTATCACCTCCTCATTACCTCCTCCATCACCTCCTCATCACCTCCTCCATCACCTCCTCATCACCTCCTCATCACCTCCTCCATCACCTCCCCTATCACCTCCTCATTACCTCCTCCATCACCTCCTCATCACCTCCTCCATCACCTCCTCCATCACCTCCTCATCACCTCCTCATCACCTCCTCCATCACCTCCCCTATCACCTCCTCCATCACCTCCCCCATCACCTCCTCCATCACCTCCCCCATCACCTCCTCCATCACCTCCCCATCACCTCCTCCATCACCTCCCCTATCACCTCCTCCATCACCTCCTCCATCACCTCCTCCATCACCGTGTGGTTCGCTGGAGCCACAGTCAGGGACAAACAGAGACTACAGTGCATTGTGCGCTCTGCAGAGGAAGTGATCGGCCGCAGCCTTCCATCGCTGCAGGACCTGTACGTCGCCCGAGCTCGAGGCCGGGCTGGTTGTATCACAGCCGACCCCTCTCACCCTGCACATGGACTATTCCAACCACTCCCCTCTCACCCTGCACATGGACTATTCCAACCACTCCCGTCTCACCTGCACATGGACTATTCCAACCACTCCCCTCTCACCTGCACATGGACTATTCCAACCACTCCCGTCTCACCTGCACATGGACTATTCCAACCACTCCCCTCTCACCCTGCACATGGACTATTCCAACCACTCCCGTCTCACCTGCACATGGACTATTCCAACCACTCCCCTCTCACCCTGCACATGGACTATTCCAACCACTCCCCTCTCACCTGCACATGGACTATTCCAACCACTCCCCTCTCACCTGCACATGGACTATTCCAACCACTCCCCTCAGGCAGGAGGCTGCGGTCCATCAGGACTAGAACCTCCCGCCACAAGAACAGTTTCTTCCACTCTGCTGTTGGACTCTTGAACACTTCTTAACCTGTCCCCCCGCCCTTTATAAAGTCACTTTACTGCCCATCATACGTCACTTTACTTCACTGTACTGCTGTCACCTTACATTGTGTGCCTCATGTGCACTTGTATATTGTATATAGCAATTATAATCGTAATCATTCTATTTTAAATTTATTCCTTAGAAGTGTTGCTGATTTGTTTTTGTTTTTTTCTTTTCTTTTCTTCTCTACCCTTACCTCTCTTTCTGACTGTTGCACTGAGCCAAAGCATTTTCCAAGTCTGTGACTTCCTGTTACTTACGTGGCAATAAAAAATATTCTGATTCTGATTATATAAGTATATTTATCATTCAATAAATCCAGAATCGTGACCAAATTTAATTGATGAATACTGTATTTCGAGCAATGGCAAACAAGAAAAATGAACAACAACAAAACAACAACAACACAATACATGACAATTATATATAGTTTTATTAACAAAAAGTCAGCTGGAAAAGGTGACAGGTGATGTATAATAAATACACATAGATGTAAATGGCGATACAAGAATGAATTGAATTGATTGAATTGATCCCAAATGGGAAAATTGACCGGTACATTTTACCCATCCTTCCAGTGTCACTATAACCTGGTCTTATCACACCATAGTACTAATTACATTTCATACTAAGGTCTGGATTTGCTCCATTGACTCGGTTAACAGGTGGGAGGGGTTAACTCCTTTTGCATTTGATTGAAACCATTGGATCTTAGTTTACCGTCACGTATGTAATCAGCCCGAGTGAGTCATTAGCATTTAGCCTAGCTTTAGCATTTAGCCTAGCTTTAGCCATCTCCTTTGCCGCTAATGAAGCCCGTGGGGAGTAGCGCCACAATCTTTGCAGCGATTACATTTGCTAAACATTCCTCTTGCTCCGGCTTCAGTTTCTTGATAGAACCAGACCAGAATACTTTACTATCGCATTGTTCGCCAAACTACAACCTGTCCGTTCAACGCAAACTCTTGACGTCACCCACAACTAACTACAAAACACCGCCTCCCGCGCTCTCTGATTGGTCGGAGGGAATTCAACAGATTGTAATCACAAACACAAGGACCAGACCCAGACGTTACATGCAGGAAATGATGATTGAGCGGAGAGTACGGATGGATAAGACCAGAGTAGTGTCACTACAGTGTTGGCAAGAAAACTTAAATACAAAAATACAGAATAACTGCTTTGAAATGTTTTTTTGTGATGTGTGCATCTGAAACACGGTTTATTAGACCAAGTCCTTCCATCTCAAACAGGACAGATACAATACAAAACATGGAGGTCCAATTCTACTGCAATTCTTCTTCTGTAACGGCTTCAAAGTTAGGTTTTGAATTGTTATGTATTTTTGTATTCTCTCTTCTAACTTCATAAAGGAGCGACGGACGATAAAGTAAAATCTTCCTTTGGCTAATTTGGCATTTTCCTCATGTGTAATCGTGCGTTTTATTAAATCGCACCGTCCCTTTCCACAAACAAACTAAATTAGACGCCGCAGCTTTAATTAGAAAATAATAAAACATACTTGCCCACACCGATATACGTGACGCTTTCATTAGTTTTTATAATCTACTGCCATTTCTGCGCGTCTAAATAAAACACATGACTTTCGAGTTAACGGCCTTCTTGACAAGAGGCCGCATAAAGGTGAAAAACTGACCAATAAGATCGCAATAAAAAGTCGGGGAAAACCCAGTAAATTGCCAGTTAAATGTGCAATAAACATATTCGTAATGCAATCCGGGCATCCAGACTGAACTGCAAAAACTAAATTATAACGGCCTATTTTCTGCCTTAAAAATCACGTTATTCACCACAGTTCGTCAACACGAGAAAATGGCTTAGAGACTTCATTGATATTGTAAAAACTAGAACAATGCGTCTCACAAATGCATAGTGCAAAACCAGAGAGAGAGAGAGAGAGAGAGAGAGAGAGAGAGAGAGAGAGAGAGAGAGAGAGAGAGAGAGAGAGAGAGAGAGAGAGAGAGAGGAGGAGAGAGAGAGAGAGAGAGAGAGAGAGAGAGAGAGAGAGAGAGAGAGAGAGAGAGAGAGAGAGAGAGAGAGAGAGATCAAGTTGGAAGCAGTAGCTCAGTTGGTAGAGCGTTGGCCTTTGAGCCAGAAGGTCGTGGGTTCAAGCCCCGCTCAAGACTCATCAACTCCCACTGACTACTGCCGTTGTGTCCTTTGGCAAGACACTTAACCTCTGGGAACACCAGCCACAGTGGGACGGCTGTAAAGTGCCAAACTGCTGTTGTGTCCTTAGGCAAGACACTTCACCCCCATTGCCTAGAATGAGTCTGGTGTGTGTGTGAATGCTTGGTGGTGGTGGGAGGGGCCGATGGCACAGACTGGTTGCCTCGCTTCTGTCAGTGTGCCCCAGGGCAGCTGTGGCTACAGTAGTAGTTTATCACCACCATGTATGGAGTGAATGAATAATGACACATGTGAAGCGTCTTTGAGTGTCCAAAAAAGCGCTATATAAAACTGATGCATTATTATTATTATTATTAAGTGGCTCCGACATGGTCCTAGCACCGTCTCTCCCTGAGCGGCTGTTTTTTGAGGCTGCATTGTTTTATTGGGTCTTATCTGCGGCGCCTCAGTATTTGGGCCGGTTTTATCTCGCTTGTTTTTATCTGTGCTGCTTTTGTTCTTTTTTATCTGGCGAGCACTTTGTAATCTTGTTAGGAAAAAAAAGGGAGGCTATATAAATAGAGTTTATCATTATTTAGCTGTGAGCGCTGTGGGCAAGCGGCGGGAAACAAGGAAAACAAATGCTCACGCCGCACGGAGGGAACAACACTACACTTTCTCTTTGTTTGTGGGATATATGTTTAGGAGAGAGCTGAGGAAGGAGAGAGGGAGACAGGGAGAGAGAGAGAGATACAGAGAGACAGAGAGAGAGAGAGACTGAGAGAGACAGAGAGAGAGAGAGAGAGAGAGAGACTGAGAGAGACAGAGAGAGAGAGCAACAGGGAGAGAAAGACAGAGTTAGAGATACACAGAGGCCGTGGGGCAATCAAACGGGAAAGATCACGTACATTACATATTTATTTTCCGAGTGGGAACACATAGTCCGGTGGTCCCAAAACTACGGCCCGCGGGCCGGACCCTGCCCACCTCGACATTTGCTCCGGCCCCTGAACAATACCAGAGTATTTTCATATTGGGCTTGTTCAAACTAAAGGACACAAAAGTGTGACAAAGGCCAAAACTTAGATTTTAAT